GGAAATGACTAAAAATGGAGATGATTGGTGTTCGTACCGATTGCGCCCCTGCAAGATGCATTACGGCAGCGAAGGTAGATCGCTTGGCAAGGCGATCCCGCAGTGAAAGTGCCGAATGTAACTTCGGTTTCGCGTGTTAAGCTTGTATAAATATCCATTGACTTTCTCGTTTGGACGGTAACATCGGCATTATTAGCGCATCCAGCGAATTTCTACAACACTGTCTGGACTCTGGCAGAAACACCTCGAGCTAATACACCATGACAGGGATTAAAAAGCGTTACCATGCCCCTTTAATTTTCGCTACACGCGTTCCACGAGTCCACACCGATCGAATCCGTATAAGCTACTTGGGCTTGGCTTTCGAGACACACGCTTTGACGAAGGAGAAGGTTACTGAATTATTTGTTGTACGGAAGTGTAGCTTGCGATGTCCCAGAAAACAGTTGCGCCAGTTGCAATACTCTGTCATACCAATTATGAAATAGTCGTTACATATAGACCGTTCTATAAGTATCCATTCCCTTCTTATCTATCAAAGAAATTTGTCTAAATTGATAGGGTTCAAATACTTACTGCATCGACTGTACAGGGTAGACTGTATATGCCTTGGATGTAATGTTAGTTAAGGTACTTCGTATCTACGCAAAAGGGTCGACGTCGAAACAAGGTATAATTATAATACTTCAACTGTAGTTCGTCTCTTACGCACTTTCACAGTTATTTGTACGTTACATTATAGATTTTTATTTTCTTGATTTCCGAGATAAATTAAAGATAATATATACGATCTATTCTCTCGTTAGTTAGGATCTAAGAACGTGAGTTTTTCCTTGGACAAGTCCGAGCCCACCCCGGAACTGCCGATTAGGGGTGTACATATCACAAATTTCGATTCGCAACGAAACGGACATAAATTCTGGGAAAATTATCGCCCTCCAGGCGTCGTAATCACCCATTATCGTGATTTCAAGTACGAGATGCCCTCGGGGTGGCTCCGACTCGCAGAAAAAAGGTCCAACGAGAAATAGAGGGCGGCCCGCCTTGGCATTCCAGAAACGTTCCGCCGGTTTTAAGTAATCGTACGCGTTTCGCACGACCTACGACACCGAGGGACTATTACAGTCTTGCGTAGGTGTAACCTGAATAGTATAGATAGCGCCTAGCGGTAATAAATAGAATAATAAATGACGAATAAAAACACCATTCCTCGCGTTAATTCTATTACACTTTTACCCAAGTAAGTCTCCATTTATTTAATGACAAATTCGATCAAATATTTAAATATTCATTTATCCTTGAACGTGCAAACGTAGAAACTAGAAACATCGTGTAAAATTCTGCGACGTCAAAAACTAGAACCGTGGAAGCAGCCATCGTCTAATCTCTCATGGAAATCATTGATTGCAATTGAGCTGTCAGGAGTAAAGTTCAACTGTCAGTGGAACTGCTGGCATTTTTTCGCGCCTCGTGTTTGAGAAATGTCTATCTTCGTGCAGGGGGATTTAAAGTTGCTAGAACGCCATCGCTCGCGTTACTTTCATTCACGTTTCGCGAGTCTTTAATCCGGATTATGAATTTCACGCGCTGGTTTGATTTAATTCCAGAGTCACCTAACCAGAGAATCGCGTGCACGCGCGCAAATCACCGAGGAGACAGTGCTCGACCGCCAAAGAAGAAGAAAAAGCCATAGACACCGCTTATTTGTCACGTTAACTCCAACGATAGGGTTTGTCGGACTATATAGACTATGTTTGACGAATACAATTTAATTAACTTTATTGGTTATCGCTAAACTTCGAATTTCATGTGACAAATATATGATAAACATAAACAAAATGTACATGAATCTACGCAAAACGAAGTATCAATATCATTACGTTAATTAACAGAGTATATTCTACATTCATCACGTGTATTTTTTGTATGTTTTTCATATGGATGCCATAAATGCATAAAATCCGCTGTCTATCTTTAGCAAATTTCTGGATAAAATCTAGTCTGTAAGAATCTGTAAGAATCAACGCAATACGATTGTTTGAGTTTCTCTCTACGATAATTTCAGATCGTTTGATCCACAGGCTGTGAGAGATCAAGACGGTTTTGATGTAATCGCGAACTTTCACTTCAAATGGAAATCTTGCATTCTTATTATCCAATTACATCAACTCGTATCAACAGAGTTTGAGTAACCTTCGCGCAGTGAACGCTGAGGTGACAATTACCAAACATTCGAAGGAAACGCAATATCTCAGCTACGTTAACTTGTGTCAATAGTCAGCTCCTCGCGACCCACGATAACCAGAACGCCGATTCTCATGAAACCTGTTTACTACAAGTTTACCCAGTCTTGTTAGTGGCGACTTTGCACGCCTTCCGCAAACGGCGATAGATCCAGAAGATCTATCTTTGATACGCGAGAGTTAATTGAGCTCTACGCGTTTGTTATTTGATAACTAGCGTCAGGACTTTGATGTCCCGTAAACGAACCTTCAAATGACAAATTCGATGCAGTGGTTACCGGATTAAATCTCGAGACTAGATAACCCAACATTTCAGCTATGTTTATTCTTACGAATGGTTAGTTCCCCGCGACCCGAGGTGACCAGAACAATTTTACGAAGCCTGTCCGTAAACTCGACCCCTCTACCAAACGAACTCGATGTACCTCGATCGTCTGTGTGCTTCGATCCCGCTCGCGGTCAAAGATCAAGACGATTTCGGGTTGGAGCGGTTGCGGCGCGAAACTCCGCTCGTCCGATTATAATTCCTCGGCGTCGTGGCGAGGCACGCGGACAGGGCAGCGTGCGTGAGCGCAACCATCGGCCAGAAACCGGTTTTCCATACGTTTTAATTTCACGCTGACATCGGCGCAGTTCAGTTTACACGGATGCTGGCCATTTTCCAGCGCGGCTCGCGAGATTAACGTCCAACCGTATTCGTCTTTTCGCGGTTCCGCGGAATTTACGCGGCGACACCTTTCCCAGGAACTCGCGACGCGACCTCTTCCTTTTCCTCCGTGTCCTTCGGCACTCCCACGACGTTTTCGATCTTAATCATCCGCGCGATCGGCCCCAGGGCTAATTGAGCTCTCGTCCAGGCGGCGGCTCTCCTCGCGCGACACTCTTTCTTCCTTTTCGCGGTGCACCGCACCGGTCTCGATCGCGGCTGATCGACGAGGATTAATTATTTTTCGCGCACTCGCCTCGGGCACCGAGCGTTAATTAGCGCCAGATTGATTTCTGGTATCGACCAGTCACCGTGAGAATCTGCGTGGCTTTTCCAACGGTTACTGTTGTTTACGAGTGTGACACTTCGTCACTGTCCACGATTTCGATCGCGAGGACACGCACTGGGTAAACTGGCGACGATATAGGTTCCACCAGGTGTAAATTTGAAGCCATTGGTAGTGCATCGCGCACTATTGGAATTTTCGTGTCACAAGATTCCTGGTAACTGATCGGGAGCAGTGGTCACTGTTTTTTTGAAAAATGGGCAGCCTGTGATAAATTTTCTTTGGTCAATCTTTCTAGAGATTAGATTCTCTTCTGGATCTTCTGTTCGATTCACTTGCAGCACTGTGGTTGGTAACTAGATGCTCCTACACAGGTGTCCATTTGTGCACAGTGATAACACAAGTGACTCCGTTTGCATGACAGGTTTCCAAACCTAATCAGGAACTTGAGCCTCGTGTCGCAAGGATTCACAAACTTTTCAAGATATTTTCAGCACCATTATAGCATTTGTTAGGGTCTATTTGGGTAGATTACTTCTTGAAACAGCCAAGTATTGGCATTTTTCTTCTCCTTATTCATTCGACGCACAGGCCCACAAGTTTTCCAAAAGATGTCAGTCACCAATTGTCACAGAAAATCTTTACGTTTTCCATCTGACAGATCACTACTTACTCGAACAAAGGTGTCCCACTGAATTTCACATTCCCAAAAATGTCCATTGGCGCCCGATTCGACAAACACAAAGTTCTTTACCACGATCCATGAAGCCACTGCACATGTCAAACCTCGCAATACTCATTTTCTGCGATCCTCTTTCCAGTATCTTCTAATCCACTAGAACCACACGTTTACTCAAGTTTTCCAATGTTGCTGCTTGTATCTTCCGTCTGGTCATCACCACTCGAACCCAACAGAAATCATTTTTTTTCCAACGAGGTCCATGGCACCACAGAGTCGAGTTCTGCAATCTGCTCTTCTCTATCCTCCGCTGGAGGACATTGCGCCGGATGCGCTCGACGAAATTCCCATTCCGATTTCCATGTGATCGCGCCAGCACTCCGTTTCAGCCTCGTATCTTGATCCAACAGACACAACGAGCACTTCTCCGCGATGCACTTTCAAACACAGTTCCTCGAAACGTTCTCACTGTCCTTTCTTCCTGAATTCGATTCGCACAGACTTCGAGAGCACTGTCGAAGTTCGACGTTAGGCGAACCGTGATCACACGTTGTCACTTGTGGTTACGCGGCGACTCACTTTGTTTCAACCCCCCCATTAGTGTACTTTGAGTCCGTTGCACCGAGGTTTACGAAACGATTAATTTTATTTCATGTGCTGTGGTTTTAGGAATTTATGATTCTCCTACTTTGATAGTCCTACCGTCTCCTGCTCTGTTTGGTTCGTGAGTCTGGGACATTTCAGCGTATTTGTCGGTCCGTTGTCTGTCATTGTACGCTATACTAAGCCAACACAGTCGACCTTTACAAGTTAGGATCAACAAACTTGGACAAATCAGCGACAAGCCTGATCACCTGTCACCGCCCTACTCCACATCACCGACAACAACGAAACAACCCTAGCATACCGTCACCAACTGTCACTCTCGCGTCTGTCAATGTCTTCCACCCCAGAAGGTCACACACCCCGTCCCGTCCGCAGAACCCTTATCGGTCCGTCACCTCGGGACACGTCTCTTGGTCTCATCTCGTCTCGTTGACGGCGTCTAGCACCGACTCGCGGTTTTGTTGAAATGTATCGACTCACCTGCAGTATGTATCCCCGTGTGTAATCCTCGTACGTCCAGCCGAAAGCGGCTAGTAAACGTGTCACTTGCGCGTGCGGCAACTTGTTAAACAACTGATCGAGCAAGATCTTAAGGCGTATCGGTAGTGCGAGCGAGCCGTAGAGTACGAGGGATGCGACGTCAAACGCGGCCGTCGGCTCGACACTCTCTGAAGCCGGTGGCCTCTCCTCCTTCTCCGCGACATCGCCGCCCCCACCATCGCCGTTGCCACCTCCACCGATCCGTTCCCCACCATCGGACCCCCCACCAAACGCTCGGACCCCACCATCGACACATCCATCGCCGGCACAGCCGCCACCCCCACCTCCGCCCCCTTCCCTCGACGCGGTCGTCGTCGGCGTCGTCGTCACCGTGGTCGTCGGCGTCGCCTGCTTTGCCCTCCCTCCGCCGCTTTTGTCCTCCCTTCCAGTGCCACGGGGGCTGGAGACGACATCCCCACTCCGCAGCTGGCGGAGGCCCGACAGTCGCGCCAGCGCTGGAACAACAGAGAGGAGAGGAGACGGGGTTAGAGAGAGAGTCGTCTGTTTGGCCGCAGTGCGCGCCACCGCGGATTAGCGCGTGTGTTGGTGACCGTGGACAAACGGCCACCCCCCCACCAACGCGCTATGGTCCACGGAACCTCCCACCCCCGCGTTTCGCACCCCCACCATCCAAAACCCACCACCGTGCTCCGTTCTGTCCTTTCGTTTTGTTTCTGTCTCCTTTCGCGGCCTCGAGCCTTCTCCCGACTCGCTCTGCCGACCGTTCCATGTGTCTCTCTCGCTTCTGTCTCTCCGGGTATCGTACGGACGCAACCTAGGGTCGTCGTGGCACCGAGGGTACTTACTTACCCCCCACCATGTCACTGGACTTCCCCCCACCCTATCAGGCTACCAACACACGTGGCTGTCACCGACACACCGAAGCCCGCGCTCGCTACCAATACTGTGCGGGCAGGAATGCACGGGCAGTCGCGAGCATCCCCACCAGTTGGATTTTCTCATGAGACTCGGCGTCCATCAACCTGCTGCTGCCTCCACGGTGTCGCGGTTTAGACGGCGATCGCCTGTACTATCAGCCGCACACTACCGGCTCCGAATCGGTTCGAGGAACCCAGAGTAACGCTTCCGCCGCCTATTTAATCGATTTTGTAAACGTTCTCTCACGAGGAACAATTTTTACAAAAATTCTACTAGCGGATGCGTCAAGATAACATCACTAAATAGCTAGATTCACAGGGATGAGTGTCGAGTACATATCATTGTGGAGCACCTTTGATTACTCCGATTCCTTTTCTGGATTATTCAAACAGCGTTGAAACCGCTCCAACCAGCTGAGCTGTCGAAGGGCTGCTCGGAGAATCTTACTTAATAATCATCCCTTGGCATACCCGAGAAGCTTCAGATTTTCATAACATAGGAGTATTAAGAAATTCTACCTTGCCGGAAGCGTATTATACATTTCTCTTTAGTCTGAGAATATGGTTCCATGTTTAATTCCTCTACATCGAACGTAAATAGCCCTGCTCCAAAATGAAATGGCTCTAGAAGATGCAGCGGTAACCAGTGCAACGAACCCGATGTCTCGAGTAAATCAACTTCCGTAGATCATCATTTTTCCGTTAACGCTCGCGTCAACGGAACGTCAAACAATTCACGGAGGAGAATTAACGGTGGAACAATCGCGAGCGTATATTTCACGAAGGGAAAACGCCCGCGGACACGGCGGCGGCGGGCCGAGTTGCTTTCTCAGAGACACCGACTGCTCCAACGTATATAGTCGTCGGGGAACACCCGTAAGGTCTCGAGGCGCTTTCCCTCCAGAACCGTCACGCTTTTCGCACCTGACGATTCCTATCTCGGGACACGAAAGTTTATGGGCCTTCTTACCGTGCAGACACACTCGACGATGGTATCGGTTCCAGGGTTTCGCGTACGACGAAAACATTAATCGAAACTGGCCGCGTTAATCTTTCCTCTCTCTATCTGTGGTTCTCATCGATCCGCCTCGAATCATTGGCGAATTCATGGATCGACGAGATTAACCCTAGAAAGAGGAGGTATCGTTGAGTCCAACGAGTCACGGAACGGTATCGAACCTTGGTACAGTTTGCTAGACTTGATCAAGTTGGACTACAAATTTTACGCATCCGTCGTCTGTTGGTATAGTAATCGTTTGCAAAATATAAGTAGAATGTACTTTGTGAAATGATGATATAAATATTCAGTTTCGTATTGCACGTTTAATTTACAGCATGTACTTGAAGCATTACGTTTATTGCACCTATACGAGTAATTAGTACAATCTACACTTGACGACTCTTGGGTTGGCCGACATGGGAGTTCCAATGTCGGTCGTTTAATTGTATTTCGTTATATTTCATTTTCTGCGCGATACGATCGCGTAATCAGGGATATGTACGGCTTCATTTTCGAAGATCAATGTTCGATTCGATCGCCCCGTTTAATTCTTTTAATTACGGCAGATGTTCGTACGATACGATCTGTAAAAGCACGATGTTCTTATGTATCGGGAATATCAGGAAAATTCTGTCGAGGGATGTTTGAACAAGATTACTGCATTTGTAACGTTTACGCGTTGCTTAGCGATGCGTAATAGGATTAGCTACTCCGAATCTGTTAATTGCAAATTTAAATCCAGAAATTTGAAGCGCATCATGAATACTACGCAACCATCACGAGTCCTACGCACGTTTTACCCAAGGTGGAATTGGTGAGGGCCGTTCAACCTAAACAAAGCTGGTCCCGAAACGTGGGGCCCCCAGGCACGAGAAGATAATCACTCATTGTCGTATCGGCCCAATGGGGAAATGGTCTTGTACGCGTACGCGGGAGGATCCATTACGCGTGTCCTTTTTGTTCCAGCGATAACATTAAGAGGGCGGCGCGGTTTGTTGCTGGACGGCTGGGGGCGACGTAGGGGCAACGGCGATGATTGTCGTTGTAGGTGCCATATCGGGGCCCCTCGGGGACTCCGCGAGCGGTCCGACCCTCGCAGCGGTCCCAGCGTGGGATCAATAGAAATCACGGAGTCATCGCGATTGGGCGCCACTTGTCATTAATGACTATCCGATTTTCGATTTAATTAAACCGCGATGACGATCTTCCCACCTAGCCTCCCCCCTCCTCTTTCACGAAAACGACAGGGGGAATCAGTTTCTGGAACGAGTTCTTCGTGGGTCCCCGTTAATCGATGCTTTCGTTTCCGATGAGGCTTTTATCGCTGAGATTTCGTCTCAGTCTCAAAGTCAGTCATCGTTGAGCACTGAAAGTGTTAAATCTAATTTTATATTCGCGTTGTTAATTAGAATTACAACGGTGTTCTCCCATGATTACGGTTCGCAGTATAGAAGCAAATTATTCTAATGTTACAAGGAAGAACCGAGTCTACTTAACCTGGGAAGAGGCAGTGCCGTTTCAATAGTAAAACTGCTAAAATGCGTTTAATCCTCGCCCGTATCGAGGAGTCAGGGTTAAAGTAGCGATAAAGCAGGAAGGAAGTGCAACGCGAAGGCGAAGATGATCGTGGAGGTTCCCTCTCACCGACTTCCTTTCACCCCATTATAATTCTGTGAGAATTACCTTGAAATATTCTCAAAGCTGACACAGGTGTCGTAAAAATGTTAATACGCTCAATTAGGAGGGATTACGCTACACCGTGATATCCGAAGCAAACCTGCAGCATTGATAATTTAGAGGTCAAGTATGTTTGGGAATCGGATTGAAACGCTTAGGTTTCAAAAGACATTCTTTGGAACGGATGAACCACTTTAATCAAAGGTAACTTCGAGCCATCGATTTTTTTCTCCCGTTTTCTAAATGCAACGTCGACTCTACCCAAAACGCTGTTGGTAATCTCAAAGGAGTTGAACAAACAAGCCTCGCTAATTGCAAATAAAACAGAAACGTGTTCGTCCCGCCGATTCACGAGCCCTCGATCTGTTTTCCCGCGGCGCGGCTGTGTTATTGTATATTTTTTCATTCTCTCTTTTTTTCACCATGGATCGCCCCGATGGTTGCACGCGACAACGAATTTTCCGACGAACGAACGTCGATGAAAGAGAAGGGGTGGCACGGTGTCGGGTGCGTTAGCCGGATTTACGCGAAACACATTTTTGCGAGACGTGTGCGCGTGCGGTGGTCAGCCGTCCGTCGAATTTCACGGAATTTCGACGGTGGTATTATTTTTGTCTGCTCGTGTATCGATGGACTTCGCAAAAGACAGTGTTTACGCTGCAGTTTATACGGTGAATGCGTAGCAATGTCTCCCGAAGCACTCGACGTTTCATTCGCGAATTTCACCAACCCTGCAGCGACGTTTCCCCTGATATGTAGACGCAGTGGATGGACATCTGTTAATAGCGTCTATGCGCACCCGTTGCTAAATGTATTATTCTTTTTATATTTTATTATTTTATGCGTGAGCATCTTCATTCAAGCGTTTCTTGTATGTTGTATATTATTGTTGTGTATGTTTCGCTACTCGTTATGTAGAGATGTAATTGTTTTATCTATAAGTATTTATTTCGGAAGACTTTTCACATCGAGACTGAGGAATTTCCTCCTTCTATTCTCAGAATGGAGCATTTGGTGTACGGCTGGCGAGCCTCTTATCAATTCTCGACGATCGTCGCGATATCGATGAAAGGAAAGATCGCGAGGAAGGCATCGTCGCCGGCGCAGTTTGTACAGCACTGTAAACAGCCGGGTACCCGAGGTTACAGGGCGCGAGTAAATGGTATGTAAACCGTTGGGCGGCTTCACCCTTGGCCCGAGCGTATCCCGTTCGTCGTCCCTCCTCGCACTCCGCAAACTCCATTAAAACATTATCCACGTGCCGATGCGCTCGGAAAATCAGACGCGACTATCCTGCCTCCGTGGCGTATTGATATTACGTCCCGGCATCACGTCGCGTCCCGTGTTTGGTTATGTATGCATGCACTCGAATCTCCATTTCGTGGCTGCCTGGCTCCGATCGACCGCTCGGTGTCGGGGGCTTTCAGTTTTCCCTCGTTTTTTTTTTTCGTATTTTTTACAAAGGTCAAAAAGCACCAACACGCCGTAACGTCAGGATTTTTTGTTTTTGGAAAACGTCCCTGTAGGATGGAGGGGTGGTGGAAGGGAGGGTGAAAGAAGAACGTTGAACTCTGAACTTTCCAACTACAATTTTCTATGAATCGCTTAACCCTTTGCACTCGGATGCGAGGGGACATCGAGAGTCTAGCAAACTTTGAAGTGGAGTTTATTTAACTCTTTCACGTCCAACTCGATACTTTTCAAAACCAATTCGAAACATAGTTTAAATTTAAAATCAAAAGTCTGACCATCGTTATTCCAGCACCACCAGCACGACGAAAGTTGAAAAGTCATCAACAGGGGGAAAACAAAACCAGAAGTAAATGGAAAATAGAGGACTAAAAAGGCGGTTTCACGCGAGAGGAAGTTAACGATGCGTTTCGTGCGCAGAAGACTGTGC